CCCTATAGCGAAAATCTCTCCAAAAAAAAAAAAAAATGAGTTTGAAGGGGGACATCTCAGCAGAAAATCATTTTTGATCAAGGAAACCAATATTTCACAGCTGAAGTGGTATCCTTCCCAGGCCTGGCTTGGGTTGTGCCTTTCCTAAATGAATATCCTTTATTTTTTAATAACTGGGACCACTGATGAGATTTGATAGGGTCTCAGTATTAGATAATATTAATTATCAGTTAATTTCCTGATTTTGGTAGTTATATTGTGATTATATAGAATTTCCTATACACACATCATAATTGAGGAATAAAATATTAAGTTGGTATTATTCCTAAATGGTTTAAGTTTTTTTTCTTTTTTTAAGAATTATTTCTTTCTTTGTTATTATTAATTTTCTTTTTAATTTCAGATAGGGCTTGTCTGTCTCTCTCCCCAGTGACCCTTGAGGCAAAAACAAAACAAAACAAAACAAAACAGAACAAAACAACCTCTAAAAAAAAATACTAGGTGACAGAACTCAGAACTTGAAAGAAAAAAAATCACACTGGACACATGTGTGTGTGTGCCCAAGATTCCGAGAAAAGAATGGAGGAGAACTGACTGTGATGTGACCATCCCCACTGGGGAGTGATTTCTCTCTGTCTCTCTGTTGCTCTCTGTCTCTCCAGTGAGTGGATGCGTAAATGGAAAAAAAAAAATCTCTCTTAAAAAAGAAAAAAAGAAAGATAATTAGATTACCATCAGGCATTTTTTTTTCCTTTCCTTTTCTTTTTCAAAGAGGAAAGCACAAATGCAGTCCCCCACTACCACACATTATGTAGTTGATTTTCCCACATTTGGGGAAATCGCAGGGGAACACATCCAAGTACAATGGATAAGCTCTGCCCTGGGGAATCTCCCTTCATGATTACGGTACTTCCCCTGCCAGACTAAATATCATTAGCACTTTTAAAAAGTTTATTTACTGGGGCCGGCAATGGGCTTGGTGGTTAAGGGTGCTGGACTCCCACATGGCCGACTATGGTTCGAGTCCCACACCTGGCAGCTTGCTTTCTCTCTCTCTCTCTCTCTCTCATTCTATCCCTCTCTGGTCAAAGTGAAATAAATAAATGAATGAATAAAGTTAAATAAAATGATTTTTAATAGTTTATTTATTTATTTCTTGTGTGACAGAGACAACAAGAGAGAAAGAAAGAAAATACAGTATCTCCAACAAGGTCTTGATGCTGTGATCCACCCCCAACCTCAGGCAACCCCAGATCATTGGCATGTATGTGTCTAGGAGATAAGAGAGGTCTCTGTATGCAAACCTTAACCTTCCCATGTGGGTCAGCCTTGTAGAACATCATGTTTTACTACTGCACCACAATCATTAGACTTTGAACAGCTCCATGTTATGTTTGAAGAAGACTGAATAGAGACTGTTTTTAAGATATAAAGGAAAATGAAATATTACCCAATTATTCAAAGTAATTAAAACAAAAGAGTAAAAATAGATTATAGTCTTTTGATACTCTCAATGAATTAATGAATCTAAGCATGGAGCATCACTGGCTGCTAAAATGCGGAAAAAAAGTAGAAACTAGACTTCATATGCCTCCTGAAAAAAAGAGCAAAAAAAGAATGGATCCTCAGTCTAAGGAAGCATTTGGATCCAGCTGCCAATTTCAAGCCGAGGAAAGAGGAACATATTGAACTCTATCCTGAGTACACAGTGAAATCCAGACTGTAAGAAATTTTGTGTGTCAAACAGACTGGGTCTAAATAAATAAACTATTAAAAAAAAAGAGAGAGAGAGAAGGGGCCAGCAGGTGGCGTGGTGGTTAAAGGTGCTGGATTCCCACGTGGCTGACTGTGGTTCGAGTCCAGGACCTGGCAGCTTGCTTTCTCAGTTTCCCCCTCTCGCTGTTTCTCTCTGGTCAAATTTTAAAAATAATAATAACAAATGGAATTAAATAAATAAGTTATTAAAAAAATAAACCCAGACTGGGTCTATAATAGACATATTATATAAAGGAAAAACAGGAAGGAATGTATAGACTTGAAGAGATTTAAAAGATATTAACAGGCTGGCCCCATGGCACCGTGTTAAGCCAGTGCATGGGGAGCCAGATCCCACATGGCCAACTATTTTTCAAGTTCCAGCCTCAGTCTCTCTGTTGAGTACATAAATCCTATAGCAAATTTAAAAATGCATAAATAAAAATTTAAAAATAATTCTTAAAAAGAGAGGAAAATTAAAATCAAGTTTACTTGTAGAATTCTAGAGAATTGGAGTAATCGCCTCATTAACAGGTAGCAAAGTCCATAAAATAATTCTCCATGCCATGATCTCCCAGACACATTGTGGTCTAATGCGAATCTTTCACATTACTGCATCACCAGCAACAAAACTGCATGGAGGGGTATTTAAAGATACCTACAATATACAAGTGTTAAATTCTATTACTTTAATGAGTGATGTGTAAACAAACTGCTTCTAGCAATTTCCCTCAACTTTCATTTTACTATTTAAAAATTTACCTCTGAATGTTCCAGATCTGGAGAGATAACAAGCATTACAGTTAATTATGATCACAGGCTTGGAGTGAGGCAGTGACCCCTATTCTACTTATTTCCTTCTATTCTTTGGGAGGAAATTTTAATACCACCACATACTGTGACATCATGCTAGAAAGGAACCAGAGAACGTCAGCTTAATTAACATGTAAACCAGAGACTCTGCCACACCAACTGTACTTGCACGGTGTTCCACCCCATTTGTTTCAGTTTGGCATTTTGACAGAAAAAATGATCTCATGAGTACAGCCTTGGACTAAAATTAGAGTACGATATTTCATTTTCGGTGCTACCACTGATAAGCTCTATTACCATGGGAAAATTATTTGACTTAAAGAGTGGGGTTTTTTTTCCCCCTTTGTCTGTAGCTAAGACAAAATCTTAAACCTCAGGGAGGCAGATAAAATCAGGAAAAAATAGTATAATGTGCTATTTTTAAAATCTCAGCATATTAAGGAGGCAGCAGGGTGTGGTGGAAAGTGCAGTGGGCTGAAACAAAACTGGGATTCTAGTTCTTATATACCATTAGAAGGCTGGATAGCTTTGGACACATTACTTAACTGTGAGTTAGACGCTAGTTGCTAGATGACCCCTTGCATCCCTTCGGATTCTTTTCTTAAAAAAAGTCTCAGGGGACCAGCAGTTAGCCTAATGGCTGTGTAGCTGGACTCCCATGTAGTCGATCGCAGTTCAAGTCCTGGAACCAGTGGCTTAAACTCACGCCGGGCGCTTGTGTGTGCGTGCCCAAGATCCCAAGAGGAGAATGGAGGAGAAGGGATTGAGGCATGGCCATCCCCCCTGGAGGGTGATTTCTCGCTCTCTGTCTCTCTGTCTCTCTCTGTCTTTCTGGCAAGCACACACACCCTATGGCAAAATAAAACAAAACAAAACAAAACAAAAAACTCTCAAAAAAAAAAACAAACAAACAAGAAAAAGTCTCAGATTCTGGGGCCAGCGAGTAGCATTGTAGATAAGGAGCTGGAATCCCACATGGCCAACCGTGGTTCTAGTCCCAGACTCAGCAGCTTGCTTTCTTACTTTCCCTCTCTCCCTCTCTCTCTTTCTCCCTCTGATGAGTACATGTACCCTATAGCAATTTTTTTACAAGAGGTTTTTGGTATAGAGTGCATGGTACTCGCCAGACACACACACACACACACACAGAATCAGAAAGCGAGAAATCACCCCCTCGGGGGCGG